GCATCTCCCAAACTCCTCGACACTAAACAAAGATGAATGTATAAGTGAATACTTTGATAAGGAGATAGGGGGTTGGATGGAGGAAAAAATATGAAGTTTAGTCCCTTTGAACATATGGAGCAAAATTAAAGGCATTTTCATTCCATTGGATGGAAAACAAGATAGGTTAGTTTGGGGTTTAACTCTGAGAGGTTCTTTCACTATGAGATCAGCTTACAAGCTCATAGGTAGTAGTGATTATTTTAGTGAGACCCCTGTAAACTGGTTCTTGACTATGTGAATGTTAGATGACCCCAAAGTTAAAAGTTTTCTTGTATCTTTTTCTTAACAACAAACTCCTCCCAAAGGCCAACCTTTGCAAGAGAGGTGTTAGTATAGATGAGGACTATGTTTGTTGTAGGGTTGGTAAGGATGTAAAGCATACTTTCTTGAACCGCACCATTGCCAAGAAAGTTTGGAGTTGCGTTGATTTTAATCTTGTAAGTTCTAATATGGATGGTAATCAAATAGTTGATTGGTGGACTACAATTCATAAGAAGGGCATAATGGAGAAAAAATTATAAAGAAGAAATGTGTGTTCATTCTCCAGCAGATTTGGAAGAACAAGAATAGGAAAATTTTTGAAAATAAACAGGTTGCTCCCCATCATATTTTTGAATCTTATTACTTGGATCCCCCACAAGTATGGTGAAATTTGGGCAGAGTCTTGGATTTCAAAAGCTTCACTCTTAGCACTACTATTATTAATGTGGTTGAAGCTTGGGCTATGTGGGAAGCTCACAATCTAGCCCTTAACTTTAATGACTGTCCAACTACAATTGAGGGTGACTCGAATATCGTTATTGACTGTTTAAAAGGGTAGATATATCCCCCGTGGAATCTTAGGAACATCATCTGGGGTTGCTTAAAGGTGAAGGATTCGTTGGAGAGAGGTGTTCGTTACAAACACGTGTTCAAAGAGGCGAACCAGGTGGCGGATTGGCTCACTCACAGGGCGACCTCTTCTCTTCACTCTGTTTTTTCTTTTAATTCTTGTAATCTTCCTAGGTACCTTTATCTTATTTTCTTTAGTGATTTTGGGGTCGCGATTCCCCCCGTCTTGTGTAGCACATTTTTCTTATATCAAAAAAATAAAAATAATTTTAGGGAATTTGGGGGTATTTTTGTAATTTTAGAAATTTTAGTCAAAACTGGTCCAAGGAGTCAAACTAGGGGTTTTGGTTCAATGGAGGATTTTGGGGCCAAAAAATGAAGGGTTGAGATGGGTTTTGGGTATAGAGGGGCTTTTGTGTGTATGGGCCAATGAGATTGGTCAAAATGGAATCTTTCTATATGAATGGGTAAATTGGGGTATATTTGACTGAAAATTGTTATTTTGAGGTTTTAAGACATTTTGAGTTGATTAGCAATGTCGAATTGGCCCAACTAGGCCCAAATTAGGTAGACCTAGAAGAGTAATAATTTGGTCAATTTAGAACTTTTAAATGAAGTTTAGGTGTGATAAAAAGGTAAGTTATGGTATTTACGACTAAAAATTTTCATGTGAGTATTTTCAAGTATTTGAGATCTGGTAGTAATGTCTGATTGGTTTATGAAGGTCAAGATTGTAGGAATTTGGGTCAATGAGAAGATCCGAAACATAATCTTGGTTTGATAGAAGGAAAAATGAGAAAATCTTGGGTTAAAACTTTATGGGTAGGTGTTTTGGTGTATTCAAATTTTAATGGTGAGTTTTGATTGGTTCAGATGTGTTACGATCAAGGGAATATAGGTTCCAAGACTCTGCCCAAATTTACTGGGTAGGTATATTAGGAGGTCATGAATTTGATGGTGGTGTCTGATCTAAGCACCAAAGTGTTGACAGGGTGATGTGGACAGAAAGACAAGTTGCATGCAGTACCTCAAGTATACAGCAATAAGCACAAGAAATACCAAGATGAAAATAACAAAATAAGTTGGATTTTGAGGGTTTCAGCCCTGAACCTGAAGTAAAACTCCTCCTGGAATAGTTCCGCTAGAGTAAAAATGGCAGCACACTGGCCTCCCGTGGGGACACGCAGTGATGGAGGGATTGGAAGGTGCCAAAATGGATCGACTCTTCAAAACCCAAGCTTTCAATGCTTGAAAACCCTAGCTGAGGCTGAGCTACAGCTCAAACAAGAGAAAAAGAACTAAAAAAATACCCCTATAGAAACAGCCCCCTTCTCCTTTATAAGGGCTCACTGGCTTGCTAGACAAGCTAGTTAAAATATCTACACATAAGCCCCTAGAATGTTTCCCTCTCACCAACAACTCCTTAAGAATAAAACTAACTTCAAATGAACCCCTAAAATATAACTTTTATTATGAAAAAGACCCAAGAGACCAAAACCCAACAGAAATGTACCCAATTGCCCCTGACCAAAAATCTGACTTATAAAGTGATAAAAATACCCCTGGTCCCAAACTGTTAACAAAGCTACCCAAAAACAACAATTTGAGATACTACTACAAGAAAAACATGCAAAACAAAATACATACACACATTTATATTTTTTTCTCTTTTTTTTCTTTTTTTTTTCTTGCCTCATCATTCTCGTCGGGTTAAAAAGAGCTCGACATCGTGCGAGCAACAATTTTAGCAGCCTTGCACATGTTTCCATCTAGCTTCATCTACTCCTCTTCACTAATCCAAGAGATCTCAATTGATGGTTTCCCTTTCCACTTGACCAAGAGCCTAAAATAGGCCCCATTTCGAGTGTTGGTGACTCGAACATCTTCCACACCCTCTACTTGTTCAAACTCATTAGAACTATTGGCCCTTTGTGCTTGTCCTCGCCCACCCTTTGTTACTGGTTCTAGGTCCCCATGGTAATTAAAGTGGTCTGCTACATTAAAAATGGATGAAATGGACAAATCAATTGGTAGCTCAATTTCATATGCATTGTTACCAAACCGTCTCATCACTTGACATGGACCAATCTTTTTCTGCTTCAATTTATGGTAGGTTCCGATAGGAAACATCTCAGGCCGCAAATAAACCATGACTAGATCACCCTCATGAAACTCATCCGTCCGACGTTGCTTATCCTTAGCTTCTTTATACCTTTGGTTGCTTTCTTTCAGCTTCTGCCGTACATTCTTGTGAACCTCTCGAATGGATTAAGCTAAAGCTTCGGCATCATCACTCACTCGCAGCAACCCTATTACAGGAGCTAGATCAACAACACTTCTAGGTAACAAACTGTACACAACCTCAAAAGGAGTCTTCCCTGTAGATCTATTAACCGAATCATTGAAGGCAAATTCATATTGTGGTAAGATGAGATCCCATTGCTTTAACTAGTCTCCAACTAGACTCCTCAACAAGTTTCCTAGGCTTTGGTTAACCACTTCAGTTTGTCCATCTATTTGTGGGTGAAATGTACTGCTATATTGTAGGGTAGTACCCATACACTTCCATAAAGTACTCTAGAAGTGGCTTAGGAATCTTGTGTCACAACAAGATGCGATAGATCTTGGCAATCCATGCAACCAAACAACTTCTTTGAAAAAAAAGTTAGATACATGAGAAGCATCAGAAGTCTTTTGGAGAAATGATCAACCACAAGAAAAATAGTCATTACCCCTACTTGTTCTTGGCAATCCCAACACAAAATCCATAGTAATATCAGTCCATGGTGCTTCTGGTATGGGTAAGGGAAGATACAAACCTGTGATGCTGCCCCTTAGATGTTTGGCACTTGTGACATCTATCAACATAATAGAACACATCATTTTGTAGCCTTGGCCAAAAGTACCTTTTGGAGACCATTTCAAGTGTTTTCTTGTGACCAAAATGTCCCTTGCAATGCAAATCAGCAATGAGTAATGCACTCAAGGATCCTGATGGAATACATAACCTATTGCCCATGAATAAGTAACCATCATTCCACACAAACTTGGCTTGAATATCTTTTTCACCTGCTATATAGCTTCTAGGAACAAAATTTGGTATTGGTCTTTGATGGAGTTGAATCCCACAACATTAGTAGACATTATTGACACCAAGTGAACTCTCCTACTAAGGGCATCAGCTACCCGATTTTGCTGTCCAGCCTTATGCTTCAAAAAAAAAGTATATTCTCGTAGAAAGTCAACCCATTTAGCATGTCTTCCCTTTATCTTTTGTAGGGAGTTAAGGTGTTTCAATGCTTCATGGTCTAAAAACAACACAAACTCTTGTTGAATAAGATAATGCCTCCAAAACTTCAATGCTTGCACAATGGAATAAAACTCAACATCATAAGTGGAATTACTCCTAGCATCATTGAGTTTCTCACTAAAGTAAGCAACTAGACGGCCTTCTTGGCTAAGGACAGCTCCAATCCCAACATGGGATGCATCACATTCAACTTCAAAGAGCTTGTTAAAATCAGGTAAAGCCAATATCGGCGCCTTCGTCATCCTCATCTTTAGTTCTTGGAAGCTTTCTCAGCTGTGGGAATCCACGTAAACTCACTTCCTTTCAAGCATTCAGTAATGGGTGCCACAATAGTGCTGAAATTCTTTATAAACCAACTATAAAATGTTGCTAGCCCATGGAAACTACGAATTTCAGTTAAGGTCTTTGGTGTTCGCCACTCTTGAATAGCTTGAACTTTTTCTTGATCCACCTCAATCTCCTTTGATGAAACAACATACCCCCAAAACACCAACCAATCTTTCATAAAATTACACTTCTTCAAATTTATATATAGCTGATTTTGTCTCAAAACTTATAGGATTGCTCTCAAGTGTTCTAAGTGGCTATCATGATCTTTGTTGTGGTTGAGTATGTCATCAAAATAAACTACCACAAACTTCCCCATGAACGACCTTAAAACTTGGCTCATGAACCTCATAAAGGTGCTAGGAGCATTATACAACCGAAATGGCATAACCAACCATTCAAAAAGACCTTCCTTAGTCTTGAGTGCAGTCTTCCACTCATCCTCCTCTCGGATACAAATTTGATGGTATCCACACTTCAAATCTATCTTTCAAAAGACTTGTGAGCTAGCCAATGTGTCTAACATGTCATCAAGGCGGGGTATGGGAAACCTGTATTTAACTGTAATCTTGTTAATGGCATAACTGTCAACACACATACGCCAACTACCTTCTTTCTTTGGTGTGAGCAAAGCTGGTACAGCACATGAGCTTAAGCTCTTACGGATCATCCCCTTCTTCAACAACTCTGTTACATGTCTCTGGAGCTCCTCATGCTCCTAAGGGCTCATTCTATAGTGGGGTAGGTTAGGCAATGCTACTCCCTACATTAAATTTATATGATGTTGTACATCTCTTAGGGGAGGAAGACCATCGAGTAATTCTTCAGGCATCACATCAGCATACTCATGAAGTAGCTTCTTCACTAACTTTGGAACAGGCGTTTCTTTGCTAACTTCTTTTGTAACCAGCACATAAACAACATTCAAATTCCCATCTTCTTGAGCCAATTTATTTAAGGTGAAGAGAGTAGTGGTTGGCTTTGTTTCCTTCTTTGGAAATGAATCAAGTTGCATTGGTTTAAGAGTTATTTTCTTATTGCCTTTCACAAAGTTGTATGTGTTCGTGTCCCCATAATGAATGGTCTCACGATCATATTTCCATGGGCGACCCAAGAGAAAATGGCATGCATCCATTGGGATAACATCACACCATACCAATTCTTCAAATGTATTACCAATAAAAAAATTAACTAGGCATTTAGAAGAAACTCTTACCTCATTTCCTTTGTTAAACCACAAAATACGATATGGTTGAGGGTGTTAAACAATCTTGAGCTGTAATTTACCCACCATTTCTTGAGAAACAAGATTCTCACTACTCCTACTGTCAATAATCAGGCTACACAACTTCCCACCAGTTGTACAATGTGTTCTAAAGATATTCTTTCTTAACCAATCCCTTGGTAGTGATTCTTGAGGTGCAACCATAGAGTGTTGTATTAATAGAGCTTCACCCTCAATATCACTAGAGCTTCTTTCTCAAAATTGTGCATGGATGGTTATTCTATCTTATTCAATAATGTGATTACTATTAAACGGAATAACAAATTCCTCACATATGGAGAACTTGAGAATGGTCTCTATGTTCTCCATCCTTCTCTAGAAACAAACATTACCAAAACTACATCGAAAATAATCCCCAAGAAGATGACTCATGATATAGTTAATCCCACGTGCCTGTGGCATTACCGACTTGGCCACATTAATATAGATCGTATCACAATGTTAGTAAAGGATGGTCCTTTGGATTTTCTAACCTTAGAAGATCTTCCAACTTGTGAACCTTGCCCTCAGGGTAAGATGATGAAGCGACCATTTAACGGTAAGCCTGAAAGATCTACAGTCACACTTGACCTAATACATACTGATGTATGTGGTCCCCTAAATGTTAGGACACGTAATCAACACGTTTATTTCATAACCTTTGCCGATGATTATTCTCAGTATGGTTACGTATACCTAATGAAACATAAGTCTAAATCCTTTGAAAAGTTCAAGGAATTTAGACAAGAAGTCGAGAAACGGTTAGGGAGAGAAATTAAAGCCCTTCGATTAGATCGAGGTGGTATCTCTCTGAAAAATTCGGAGACTACTTAAAGGATAATGAGATAGTATCACAATTAGCCCCTCCCGCTACAGTTAAATGGTGTGTCGGAGAGGAGGAACTGGACCCTATTGGATATGGTCCGATCACTTCTCATCCACTCAGAATTACTTACATCCTTTTAGGATACGCATTGGAAACTACAATTTACGTGCTGAATTAGGTTCCAACCAAATCCATTCCGAAGACTTTCTATGAGCTTTAGATCGGGAAGAAACCAAGTGTGAGACACTTGAAGATTTGGGGTTGTCCGACACATGTTAAAAGAACTAGTGCTGACAAATTGGAATCTAAGACCAGTTGTTGCCTATTTGTAGGTTACACCAAATGCTCTATAGGTTACCTATTCTATGATCCGAAAGAACAAAAGGTGTTTTGCAATCGAAATGTCTGTTTCTTAGAAGAAGATTACATCCTAGAGAATCTTCAGCAAGAAGTTGTTCTTGATGAGGAGAGCCCAGGAGTAGTGGGAGATGTCCTACAAGCTCTAGATACTCAACCTAGAAGGTCTACCCGGGTAACCAGGCCTCTAGTTCGTTACGGCTATGACCAAGAAAGTTACTTGGTGGAAGCCATTACAGGTGAGGAGGATCCCACGACTTATGCAAAAGCTATGTTGAACATAGATTCCCTGAAGTGAGTAGATGTCATGAAAGCCGAGATGGACTCGATGGAGACCAACAAGGTCTGGACTCTTGTGGACCCATCATCTGGAGTGAAAGCAATTGGTTGTAAGTGGATTTACAAGAGAAAGAAGGGCCCAAATTGTGACATTGAGACCTATAAAGCTCGTCTTGTGGCGAAAGGGTACACTCAGAAAGAGGGAATCGACTATGAGGAGACTTTTTTGCCAGTAGCTATGCTGAAGTCTATTATGATCTTGCTATCTATAGCAGCATACCATAACTACAAGATTTGGAAAATGGATGTCAAAATCGCATTCCTAAATGGAGATCTTACTGAAGATATCTATATGTAGCAACCACAAGGATTCATTGTTGCATGTCAGGAACACAAGGTATGCACACTTAATCAATCTATATATGGACTGAACCAGGCTTCTAGGAGTTGGAACATCCGGCTTGACTCTACTGTCAAACAGTTTGACTTTGATCAAAATCCGGATGAACCCTGTGTTTACAGGAAAACCAGTGGGGATAAGGTTATGTTCTTGTTTCTGTATGTAGATGACATTATACTCATTGGGAATGATGTAGGAATGTTAACTATGGTGAAAGTGTGGCTTTCACAGAAAATCTCCATGAAACATCTTGGAGAAGCCACCTATATCTTGGGACTTCGACTCTATAGAGATAGATCGAAGGGGATAATAGGATTATCCCAGTCTACTTACATTAACAAAATAGTTAAGAGATATAATATGGAGAAGTCAAAGAAAAGAAATGTTCCTTTTAGGTACGGAGTCACTCTCTCCAAGGGTATATCTCCCAAGACTCCTGAGGAAATTGAGGGCTTGAAAGAGATTCCCTATGCCTCAGCCGTAGGGAGCATTTACGTATGCCATTCTATGCACTCGCCCTGACAATGCTCAGGCAGTGTGGTAAGTAAATACCAGTCTAACCCAAGACAGGAGCATTGGACAACTGTGAAAAACATATTGAAATACCTTCGAAGGACAAAAGGAATTTTGTCTAGTATTCGGTGGTAGTTCACTACATATCGTTAGGTATACTAATACCGACTTCTAGTCAAACCCAGATGATGGAATGTCTATATCTGGTTATATCTTTACGATGGGGTCCTGTGTAGTAAAATAGCAGATTCCACAACCCAAGTCGAGCACATTGCCGTAAGTAAGGCTGCTTAATGAATGAAGGTGTTCATTCTGGAATTTGGAATTCAGCACATCACCCATTCCAGTGTTGTCACACAACACTGGATCTATGGGAGATTGATGTCAAAAGGTAGTATCAGCGGAGAATATGGCAGACCCATTGACGAAGCCATTGACACAGAAAGTGTTTGAGAAACACATGGAAAGTCTAGGATTCCGGCTTGTACCCGATTGGACCTAAGTGCAAGTGGGAGCTGTTGGACAGTTATGCCCTTAGCTCCAATCAGATTGATGTTTGTTTTAACATTTATTGTAAATGAATAAAGTACATAATTGATTCATGTCATTGTAGTGTGTTTTTGTGTAATACCCTTAAATTGGACACTTATGAGACTTGTGTTAGTTTAAAATCTTCACAGCCATTTGATAGATCTGGGGAGATTTATCTGCCAAAGCTGACACTGATGTGCCGCCAAGTTGGTTGGGGTGGCTTGTCCCAATTACCAGGGTGAGACCTGAGGTACATGTAGTGTGGGTTTTCTTGAAACCCTGAACCGGACCAAATTTCAGTATTGCCCTGGACCTTGGAGATAGATGGGCAAAACTGGAATGTTACACCTGTCCCCTATACTCGATTATGGTACTGCAATAGGTGTCGGATTGGGTTGTCTTTGATATGCCAATCAGTGAGATCCTTAAAGGGGGTCAAAACCTGGGTATGTTGGGACAGTCCGAGAATTCACTAGAGTGGGTGATCATAGTAACAGGATCAACCACTTTGTTGGACAAAGTGAATGGTCGGGGAATGCCCTCTCTCTGATGGAAACCTAAACTATCGGTAGTTGATTTCAAATGTTGATATTTGTTTTTTTTAAATATATTATGGCTTCAAAATGATTGCAAAAGGTTTTAATTCTCGGGATCCATGTGAGTAGAGAGTGCAGCATTGTACCTTGTAGCCGAGGGAGGGGTCCTCTTTTGTCGGGTAGTGTTTGATCATTATGGGCTGAGAGATTAAGTGTAAGACCATTGAGGGTAATACCTGATGGGCTAACCTTGCATCTACCCACAGTTCTTAGGTTTTCATAAGGTGGTTGGACCCAAGAACCATTTAGTGTAAATGTTGGGCCCATTAAGAGCCCATGGTGATGGACTCAGGGGTTCACTGTCTCCTACAGTGAATTCGCCCAGGCCTTGTAACAAAGGCTAGGATAAACCCATGTGTTGATGTGTAGATCGATATAAGGGCCCCACGCCATACAAAAAGAGCCAACTGAGCAGCAGGTTAAGGAGTAAGTGAGCACATAAGCTTAATGGACCTAAAGCCCAATTCGAACTGGGCTTAATTTAGTTAATTAAAAGGGGCAAAATCTGATTTATAATCTGATTAGGATTAGCTAAAGGATAAGATAAGTCTTCTCCACTTAAGAGTCCAGATCCAAGTATCAGATTTGGATCAAGAAGCTCTCTCCTAATTAGATTAGGAGGCTGATCCATATAAGACTACAATTAGGGGCAAATTCCTTAGTTTTACGCACAACAATCCGTAGAATTCTCTCCTAATCTTACCATCCCTACCTAGTTTGATCTCTTCTTGTGAAATTGATCAAGAAAGGTTCTTGATATTGTTTCTTGGTTGAAGAAATAATATGAAGTCATGCTCACCAGCCCCTGTTCGATTCTTGCTGAAGAATCCTAGTTCTTGCTGAAGAGCCATCCTGGTGATCATGTTTCATCACACACTGTTTCATTTTCAGTGGAAGCGGGCTTTGGTCTTCTCCTTGGGTGTGAACACCTTCATTGAGAGTTATTGCTACTTCGTATCAGGTACATCCCTCTCCTCCCTTTTGGTTTCAGATTTGGTCTGGTTTGGATTCAAGAATGAACCTTGAAAATGTAGTTTTCTAAATTAGGGAATGTGATTCCCATATAGGAGAAAAGAAATTTTTGAAATTTCACCCAACCTTCCTACAGGGTTCGGCCATCCATAAGATGGATCTCCCATCCCTTCAATTAGGGAGGAGGGGAAGGTGAAGATTTAGTAGTTAGGGGCGGCTAGGGTTTGTTAGAGATGAAACGAATGAGTGGGGAGGCGCCCTAGGGTTTGCTAAGGAGGGGTGCCTTTCTGGGTTTAGCGGATAGGAGGCGCCCTCCTGTGCTCAGTTTTTCATAGAAACACCCCCTCTCTCAACCAACTCTCACCAGCTTCCCAAAATCTGCAGAAAACTCAGTAAA